AAAATTCACCAAATTGTGTTCATTCTTGAGCGTTAAAGTGATTTACCACTACGTCAAGATGATGATTTACCTCGGTAGCAAAAGCTGTTACATAATGTTCGACAGGTGTGAGCTCAGGACCAGCATTTCCATTAATTACCGTATAAGCGGATGGATCGAGGAATCCATATATGGCCCAGTATAGTCTACGTGTAGTTTGGAAAATACTAAACAGCTTTTTCAGGTCCATTGCTTCTTTAGAAAACAGGATAAAACACTTACCTGCGAAATTCATCACCCATAGACATTTTGGTATTATCTGGTTTGTAAACGACACTGTGCAAATAAGGTTGTACGATCATGTTTATCCCAACAGCAAAAGATATTACTATAACGCCCATTACAACTAGGTAATTATAAATAGCACCGATGCAACAGCCGACTGATATCTGCAATTGTCGAGAATTCAAGATAAGCATAAGGCTGCGCCAAAGGTCGATTGAGTGCCGGAGCCGTTCCAGCACCGTTCCAGTGCCGGTGTCAGGTGTCTGGCACAGCGCTGGCATAGGCACTCTGCCTATAATCTTATGCAGCAAATTGTTGTACTCACCACACTCCCTCCGATTCCTTTAATCAACTGAAAAAAGTAGAAAATTCTCCAAATGCCCAATATGCAGCCAGTGCAAATGTAGATATCGTAAATAACAAAATAGTCCCAAGCCGGCTAAACAGTAATAGTTGTTGGTTATTGAAAAAGTCAGAGTCCTACCCAATGAATTCTGTTGAGTTCTTGCAGATCAGATTCCATAGGCATAAGAACGCCAGTGAGCCACAAATGCAACGCGAGACAGAAGATGCCGATGAGCACGCAATCGAACCTCAAATTTTAAGCTTTAGCCAGTCATTAGAGTGCGACATCTTCAAGAAAAAAGTTTGCGTATTTACACTTTTTAGACTGGGTCTAAAGTTGGCCGTGCCAACCGTGCCAGAGCCGTGCCAGTTCCGTGTGGGAGCGTCAGTCGATTCTTGCAGGACTCATCCACAGGGTACCGTGA